TCATCCCTTATGTTTTATAATTTCTCTTTTCTGAGCAAAATCTGAGAAAAATGTTTTTTTTAAATTAATACTGATCGGTTTGAACGCTAACCGATCCTTCCTTTGTGTACGCTGACACACAGATGTAAACATTTTTAAATAATGTCTTCATAAATACAGGACTATAAATGAATACCTGATTTATTTAACTAAAAAATGAGCACGCTGGATGTTCGCCTGGTGTCAGTATCGCTGCTTTAAGCTGGTATTCATGTAGAAAAGGAAGAAAAGGAAGCCGTCACATCAGCTCTGGTTGGAGGTCATTAACTGTCTCAGAACTCAGGGTTCTCGCCAGCATTATAATCTGTTATAATATATGTTATAATGGGCTGTTACGCTGTTTTCGAAAGTACGTAACAGGAAACACATCAGCGCTGATGCAGTTTCTCTCCCGCCGTCTTCACTGCTAACGCTGCTATTCGCCACTAACAGCTAGCCGCATTCGCTAAGACTTCTGACACGTCAAGAAGTCCTGCTGAGGACCCTGGAAGTCTTCACCACGGTGCCTCTTTGCTCGTTAAACCCTCTAGAATCACCGTCCTAATTAATCCTGGCTTAAATGAACACATGAGATGAGGTTGGAGGTCGTTGTCCATCCCAGAAGTCTTTGCCATTGAGCCCATTAGCTAACAAAACTAAATAGAATCACTGGCTTAAATAATCCTGGCTTGAACGAACACATGAACTCTAGCTGGAGGTCGTCACTGTTTTGTGTCTTGTTTTGTCATTTTATGCGTCTTTGGGACAGTTTTGTCATTTTCTGTTTACTTCCTGTGTCTTTTTGTTGTTGTTTTCTGTCATTTTTTGTTGTTTTTTTGTCCTTTCACGTCTCTTCATGGTCCTTTTGTCTCCACATACTACAGATATGGAACCAATGTGTCGAGTCGTTTTGCTAAAGTTCAATTATTATTGAACTTTTTTTTTTTTTTTTTTTTTTTAGATGTTGTGGACACATTTTAAAAATTATTTTTGGACAAATCTGTGAAATTTTGGACAAATTTTGATCATTCTAAGCAGCATGGCACAGCGAGAAGGAAATAAATCATTAAAAAACTATTTTTAAAAAATCAACGTGTGTTAGAACACTGGAAAAATGTTCTTGTCTACAAATATCAGAATCTAGAATCAGCATCCTAATTAATCCTGGCTTTAATTAACACATGAGCTCTAGCTGGAGGTCATTAACCGTCACAGTAGTCTTGGTCTCGGTGCTCCTTTACGAGCTAAAACCAGAACTGGCTCAGAACACGGAACCGGTCACTACGGTGTTAAACAATAAGAGGTACCAGGTACTACATCTGTGTACTAACTGGCACAGCGGTACCTGACCGGTCCGTATAAATCAGCACGTTCTGGCTCCNCTCATTTATATTCAGTGATGTACCGTACTTACACTAAATCGGTTTCCTAATCATCCCTTATGTTTTATAATTTCTCTTTTCTGAGCAAAATCTGACAAAAACAATATTTTGAAATTAATACCAATCGGTTTGAACGCTAACCGATGCTTCCTTTGCATACGCTGACACACCGATGTAAAAATATTTAAATTAATTAAGCTGATTAATTAATCCTGGCTTTAATTAACACATGAGCTCTAGCTGGAGGTCATAAACCACCACAGTAGTCTTGGTCACGGTGCCCCTTTACGAGCTAAAAGCCCCCAAAACTGGCTCAGAACACGGAACCGGTCACTACAGTGTTAAACAATAAGAGGTACCAGGTACTACATCTGTGTACTAACTAGCACAGCGGTACCTGACCGGTCCGTATAAATCAGCACGTTCTGGCTCCTGGACGACCTTCGGTTCTGACATGTACCTCCCGTGGTCCGGTTTCTGTTTTCTGTCTGCGGTTCGTCAGCCGGACGGCGACATGTCGGTGTGAGCAGCAGTGATTTTACACTCGACTTGAGGCGCTGAGCTGATAGACAATCACACAGAGAGCTGCCAGTGATCGATACTATTGATTGATTTTATGTATTTCGGTGCGTAGCCGCCTGCTCCAAAGACTGTGATGGACTCTCAAGCATACAAGCAGCTGCTCTCACCACCTAAAACTCCCCAAAACCCTCCACCTCCTCCTCCACCGCTGAATTCTGCTGAACCAGTGTTTCTATACGGAGCTTTACTGATGCTCTGGACCTCCACCTGCTGTCAGCTGCTTTCACTTCCTGAACCACTTCTCATGTGTCCAGGATGGAGAAGCTCTTCAACCCAAATGATGCTTTTAATGCTAAAATTTAATTATTATTGTTATCAGAGAATTTTTAAATTCACTGTTTCACAAAAAACCCTGAAAAAACAGTGAAGCACATGATTATTTTTGGATGAAGACGTCAGATTATAGTGATTTACATACATTCCTGAACAGAAACATCAGTTTTAGAGGCTGAATGTGACGCCAGTGGTTGAGACTTGGGGATAAAAATTCCTCGTTCCTGTTCAGAACGGTGAAACGTGGAGAGCTGAGCGGCGTTACAGCGCTTCAACATGCTGGATGGTCGATAGTCGCCCTCAGATTTATTCACAGCGTCCCATTAAAGGAAGAAATAAACAGCTGAAGTAAGTTAAAACTGACAAAAGTAATAATAAATAAAAATTTAATAAAAATCATGACGTTGGTTTAGCATTGTGGTTCAACAGAAATATTAAAAAATAAAATAAAATTAAATTAAATTATAATCAGACTTCTGCACCTGTTGACAGGTATTCTGGCAGCAAAGTGCTCTCATTTTGTTTGTTTTTTAAAAAATTATTCTTTTCAACCACAATTCAAAAGCAACGTCTTAATTCACTAAATTATAATTCAGCAAATTTTTATTTATTATTACTTTGTCCAGATTGTAGTTATTTAAGTGTGAGTTTTGCCTTTTCTTTAATGGAAGTGTTTGAATAAATCTGAGGACGACTGAACACATTCACGATACGTTTGTTAAACGCTGAATGTTTCTGGTTTATTTTTTTTACTTTTCTCCTGATATTTCTGACGTCTTTGACCGATGAAGTCGTGTCGTGTTGTTTCCAGACTGCGTGGTACCTTGCAGCGTGTGCGACGTGGACTCGGCCAGAGCGCCGCAGTTGGACTGGACCAGCGGGCCCCTGATGGTGATCAAAGAACTGCCCCGGTTGGTCAGCGCCGCCTTCAGAGGGGCCACGTGGTTGAACTGCACCGACGACAGGCAGCCGACGAAGCCCTTGGCGGCTGCCTGCACCACCTCCTCGTTCAGGTTCTCCATCCCTGGAAAGAACAAGAGTGAGCTTCTCTTCAGGTGCGATCAGCGATGAATGGCGGTCGGGAGGACGGAACCGCAACAGACTTACTGGTGACCTTGCCGAGCGTCAGGGATCTGATTAGGATCAGCTCTGCATCGGATGACAGTGTGTACTTTCTGTGGATGTCCTGGTCGATCTGGTTGAGTGGGGAGAAATCAAATAACAAGGCGGTTACAAGAAACCCAAACCGAGGCAGCAGCAGCGGCGGCGGCGGCGGCAGAGCGCTTGCTGTAATATATTACGGATTGATAATTGTGTTTCTGTGCAGAAGCTGCTCTGCCCACAGCGAGCTTGTGAAGTGGTTTCGACCTCTCACCTCCACCGCGCTGACTCAGATGCATCACTTAACACGATGAAGTGCAATAAAACACTGCAGGCTCTGGATCACGTCCACGGCCCACGGAGCGCCTGCAGCGGCACATTTACAGTCCAGAATAGATTCCATTACATCAGGAAAGTGATTTCAACACCGTCGCTGCAGCTCGGCCCGACAAGTGTTTGGATCGCTGGCAGGAAATTCAATTTTAGCCGGTTGCATATATGACGAGCCGTACAGAATCGGATTGATTAATTTATGCGTTGCACGTAGGCGGGGTTATTTTATCCGGCTATACGTCAGAGGGTCCGGTCTGCGCTGAACCGGCTGCTTTGCATTAGAAAACACACACTTTGCTGCCATCGAGATGAGTTTTTTTTTTCCCTCCGTCAACCTTTCAGACAGAAAAGTTGAACGTGTTGCGTGCGAGTGTTTCTAAACTTGGCGTCCTCATAACACCGAGGCCACTAAAACCAATTAGTAAAGGTCACGAGGAAGACGTGGCCGCGGAGCAACTTGGAAATGTTTGGCCGGCGTCCAGCGGTTTAACTTGTCTGCTGCTGCAGTGCACTCCTGATAAGGCCAGGCGATAAAACAATCTCCATAAATCTTTAGCCCCAAAAACGAAGATAAAACGATGAATTATTTAGAATAAATGTTCAGGCTGCAGCGAGAAACAAAACAGGGATTCTGTCGGAGGAGAGTCGAATCAGATTTGTGAAGCTGAATAAACAGCGAGGAGTTGTTCATTCACTCAAACAGAATCTAAACTCCAGAGATCAGCGGGGAGCGTTTAAAAAAAAGAAAGACGTCAAGTGAAATTACAAAAGCAAAGATTAAAAAAAGAAAGAAAAACAACCAAGAGAGAGAAACGCTAACGGAGTCGGTTAAACGAAACCAATAGAGATGATTTGTCTGATAAAATAATTAGAATGCAAATTGAAATAGTAATATGAGAAACACTAAAATGTGCAAACAATACAATTATTCTGCAGACAAATTGGTTAATTAAAACGTGAAATTAAATACAGAAACGAAGGAGAGTTACACGAAGACACGCAAAGCAACCGCAGAGAGACTCCAAGCAACGAAAATTAGATGCAAAATGAACAAGAACAACTGAAAAATGACTGCAGACACACACCGAATGATCAGAAAGAGGTTTAAAACTGCAAAAAAGAATGGCAAAATGACCAGAAAGCGATTTAAACTGACAAAAAGACATGCAAAATGAACACAAATGAAGACAAAATGACTGCAAAGACACACAAAATGACCAGAAAGGAATCAAAACTGACTAAAACATGCACACAATGAACAAAAATAAATGCAAAAATAACTACTAACACACACAAAACAACCAGGAAGAGATTAAAACCGACTAAAACAAATGCAAAATGATCACAAATGAATGCAAAATGACCAAAAAGACACACAAAATTAATAGAAAGAGATTTAAAATGAACACAAATGAATACAAAATGACCAGAAAGACACACAAAACGGCTAGAAAGAGATTTAAACAGACTTAAATGACCACAAACAAACGTAAAATGACAACAAAGAGACACAAAATGACCAGAAAAAGATTTAAACTGACAAAAAGAAGTATAAATGAACACTGATAAATGCAAAATTACCAAAAAACACACACAAAATGACTAGAAAAAGATTAAAACTGCAAAAAAGACATGCACAATGACCAGAAAGGGACTAAAACTGACTAAAAGATGCGCAAAGCAAACACAAATAAATGCAAAATGACCAAAAAGACAAACAAAAGGACCAGAAAAAGATTTAAACTGACTAAAAGACAGGCAAATAAATGCAAAGTAACCAAAAAAGTCACACAAAATGACCAGCAAGGGACAGAAACTGACTAAAAGATGCACAAAATGACCACAAATAAACACAAAATGACCAAAAAGACACAATACGACCACAAAAGAGATTTAAACTGACAGAAAGAGTCACAGAATGAACACAAATGAACACAAATGAATGCAAAACGACAGCAAAGACACAGAATCAGCAGAAAGAGATTAGAATAATTACTAAACAGATAAATTGTGTAATTACAAAGTCAAATGAAACACAGTTATGTAGAAGCAGAGCTTAGAAGGTCTTAAATCTAATCTGCAAAACGCCCCAAAGCCTCAGTAGCTCCGACCAGTTCAGCTACGATGTGAGAGCAGTCGGAGCTGCAGCTCGCTTCACAAACCACATTTATGTTTGATGCACGTTTCTGTGGCCGACGGACGTAAACACAGCTGCTGGCTTCAGCCGGTGCAGCAGCAACAGTCAAAGGAAGGAACAGACCAAAAACAAACCGGCCTCCTGTTGTTTTATCAACTAAAGCTGCAACTCAGGACAGTTTTCATCGTTTATTATCAGTTATTTATTATCTAAACGTGGATTAAAGCTTCCCAAAGACGACAAGTGTCTGGTTTTGTCCAAAGATCTTCAGTTTACTGTCACGGAGGAGGAAAGAAACCAGAAAATGTTCACATTTAAGACGCCGCAATCAGGGAATCTAGACCTAAAAACATCCCTCAACCTGATTAATCAACAATCAAAAGAGCTGCTGATTAATTTAATAGCCGAAAAACTAATCAGCTACTTGATAAATCGCCGCCAGAAAACGTTTATAAAATGTCACGCTGGTGAAAAAATAATCTGCAAAAACGCACAAAACACGTCAAAACAAGCAACAAAAGACACAAAACGGTGACAAAAATACCAGAAATAGTCAAAGAAACGAGTGCAGAGACGAAAAACATGAACAAAACGGAGATAAAAATCCCTCCGACAACAATTAAACCTCAAATTAATTCAAACTGACTGAAACAGAGACACACAAAACGACAAAACAACCACAATGAGGTGCAAAACAAGACAAAAACAGAGACGAAACAACAGAAAAGATTCACAAAATGACTTAAAAGTGACGCAAACCGGTGACAAAGTGAGACAAACAACGACAGCGACTCAGAAAACAAATAATAAAAAAAGAGAAAGAGAAACACAAATTAAACTTGACCACAGACGGATGCAGAAGCAATGAGACACAACGACGGCAAAGAAGCGACAAAGAAACACAAATAAAAGCAAATCAGCCACCGAGAGGCAGAAACAAACACAAAGAGAAATGCAAAATGACCACAAATAAATGCAAAGGACCTGCCAAGACACACAGACAGAGCCGGCGGAGATGCAAATCCAGAGACGGGACCAAACGGGTGCTGATTCAGTGCAAACGGAGATAAAACCGACTATTAGACACACAAAAGGAACACCAGACACACAAAGAGACTCACAGCCGGTGTGTCGGTTCGGTTTCTGTCCGGTTACCTGAACATCCACATGCATGACTGCTGCTCACCTGGATGTAGAGGTTCTTCCCGACTCGGTGGATTCTGATTCGATGAAGACGTCCGTCCGCCAGGTTGCCGAGGGCGGGGCTAAACACATCCGGACTCCTGTCTGTCTGCAGGTGATACCAGATCTGGAGGCTCCCTGAAACAAAGCACAGATACACAGACTATTAATGTAAACGGTCTTTTACATTCACGACTACAGGGATTAAATGTGGGAGGTACTAGAAGGAGACGAGTGAAGGAGGCCACCAAGACTCCTATAACTCCTCTGAAGGAGATGTGGAGACTCTGAAGAAGGCTCTTTGGTCTGATGAGACCAAGATGGAGTCCATCAGAGAAGATGCCATGTTTGATGGACACCAAACACTGAACAGCATCATAAACACACCATCCCCA